GGCTGCCCATGGCGCGGAGGTACCGCTCGCGGGGCAGCTCGCGCCCCGACCGCTCTCCTGCCATCGAAGGGTGAGTGCCCGGGCATTCCATGGAAAATACACCATCCCAGGGAGAAACTGCATGGAATTGTGGCCCTTGTGCTGATAGCGGGACTCCCAGGACCGCCCAAACGCACGTTTTCGCACCCAAATCTCTACCCTTTGTCTCTCTGGGCACAGCACCAGGCCGGGCAGCGCCAGCCCTCGCCGCACGGAAACCAGTCGATGCCTGGGAAACTCGGTCACTTCCTTTCCTTCTCCCGGCCCTCCCACACCCTCCGATGAGGGAACATCCCTCATTCCAGCCAGGCCGCCGTCTCACAGTCCCCTTGAGCGCAGGGACGTCACCGGCCGCAACGCGACGTGGCTGGGACCGACCCCAGCAGGGTTTCGTGTTTTGCTGCCCCTTCTTGCTAAACTATTGCCTTGGTTTAGCCTTGGTTTGCTCAACTTGTTCCTTTTCTCTTTCCTTTCCTCCCCTCTTTAGGATAATCCAGCAGATCTTTGCAGGCTTCTTCGCGAACTCAGCGATCCCTGGATCCCAGCACCCCTTTTCCTGGTGAGTAGAAGGCTCGTGGCTCTCCAAGAGCCCTGTGTGAAGCCAGTGAGCAGCAGTTGTCTGGGTCTGCTAGGAGGTTTCTGCGGGGGCATCGCGCAGAGCGTGGGGCTGGTTTGATGCTGGTGAAACCCTTTCCTTGCCTTTAGTGCGGGTGAAACCATTTCCTGGACTTTGGTGTGGGTGAAACCCTTTCCTTGACTCCCTGCTCCCATCCGCAGGAGTGGGATGCTGCACTCGAATCCCGGGGACTACGCGTGGGGACAGAGCGGCCTTGATGCCATTGTCACCCAGGTAAGAGCTGTGTGTGTGCCCGGCTGGAGGACAGGCAAGCCCGTTGTCGCTGATTTTGACCTGTGCCTCCAAAGCCTCCTCCTCTTGGGCTCCTGACCTGTCCACCCCACTGCTGGAGAGGAGCTCTTGGTCTCAGATGAGGGCTAGAAAAGATCATTGGCCTCTGGCTTGTGCCCTGCCTGCTCAGAGGGAGCCAAGAGCTGGGAATTGGCCTTGTCTTCGTCGGCCTCTTTTCCGATGTAAATGTGGTGCAGGGTTGCAGGTGCCTTGTCATGGGCTCAGCAGAGGCTGGGGATGAAAATCCCGTGCGTCAGGCCCGGAGCTCTCCCCAAATCCAGCAGTCTGGAGTCAGGAGCCGTTTCCCCCTGTGGCTGTGGATGGATGAATTGCTGAGTCCTCTCCTGTTCCCTCTGTCTGGCTCCTTTGAGGAGCGGGGGCGTCCAGCCTCCATCCATGCACAGTCTCTCCCGGGGTGCTGGCATCCCGCGGATGGAAAGGGAGAGCAGCCGGATGCGTTAGCGGGAGCTCATGTCCCTGCTGGTGTCGTGCTGACACCTCCTGGGAGCGCCCGCCGGAGCCATCTGCTCATTCCCGGCCGGGATGAGTCCGTAGCTGCTGCTCCGCGACGCCTCGGCACGGCGGGGTCCCATGGATGTCCCGCTCCTGTCGTCTCCCAGCTGAAGGAGCAGCCCTGCCCGCTGTTTCAACGAGCCTCACCCAGGCACATCCATGTTCTCCAAGCGCATCCGCTGCCTCCCTTCCAGCCCCAAATCCTGCAGGACTCAGGGAACACCCTCCCCCTTGTCCGTGGGCCTGTTCCCTTCCCTTCGGCTTCGCGGACGGCGGCGCTGTGCCGAGCTGCTCCTGCCCTGCTCTCCCTTTCGGACCGTCGAGCTCTGCGTGGTCCTACCTGGGCCGCTCATT